AAGACTTTTGCGCTGCTTTATTGCATCGGTGCTGAGACCGGGAGCCGTCCCCCGGCTGCCGTTCGAGGCAGGTATGGCTTCCTCGAGAACGGGAAGTTTCAGAACCTCAGCGGTATACTATCGAGTCTCCGTTCCATGTTTTGTCAATACAGCAATGTACTGACATGCATTTCGCAGCAATACTAAAAACACATCTCCTTATACTCAAACCCCCTGGAAGGCAGAAAGGGGGATCTTAATTGTCATGATCGGCAGCACAAACCACCACTGCTGTCGTGTGTATTTGACCGCCTGGCAGTCAATTTCCTGGCAACGAAACTGCTACAGCGAGATCCCAGCATGGTGCATGATGAAAATGGGAACATTCTGAAGTACCATTGCACCAGTGGCACATATCATTCATTCATCCAATAGAAAAAATATTTTCGAATGCGACGGGCAACCTGCATGACGTAAAATAAACCTCACAAAAAATACCAACGGTCATTCCAGATTTTACTAATGTGAAACGCAGTAAGACAAACTTCTGATCTTGGCTTTTATCGAGCAACTCAACAAAAACCTTTGTTTTTAACTTTCAGCCTTTCCACTGTGGTGAAGAAGGAAGAGCAGCAGAGCTGTAGCTTCTGTTCTCTGCGGTGACTTTCCAGGCGAGCGATCTGCTCTTCTTTCGCAAGGGAATCTGAAGCGCTCGACGCAGTGGAACTTTAGGCGATAGCGGTTTCGCAACGGTTGCAGAACCATTCGTGCTACTGCGCACATCGTCGCTCATTCCGCTCCCGCTCTTCTTCCTCTGCAGGTTGCCGCCATCTATGAGCGACGGCGGCAACCAGTTGTCTGGTTGCCGTCGTCGCTCACAGATGGCGGTAGCTGTCCAGAGTTTGGTGTCATCATTTCTAATCTGGCGACCACGATCATGCGGAAAATAGCTCTTAATTATACCAAACAGTCCCTTTTCACTTTCACGTTACTAGACATGTTAGTCCACTTCAACTAAGATCTGCAACGACAGAAAAAAATGTAGCACTGTGGAAGCTAGAACTGTGAACCTTTATTTCGGAGTAACAGCAAAACAGAAGTCTGATTATACATTTATCATCTGCAGGTCTGGTTTAAGACAAATGAGATAAGAGTAAGAAACAATGAAGCCAACAACCACAGTGAAGGTGTTTTACAAATACGTCATGCACTGCAAAAAAAGAAAATACAAATTAAACTTAAGTTTGTCGCCCTGGCAGAATTATGGGTGTTTTTGTATTCCTTGAAACTTAGCTGCTCTGGCCCATCTCATTTTGTTAAAGAACTTAAGAATGTTTGCCATCAGGAAAGCATAGAAACTAACTACTATACTGCACAATACAAAAAATAAGCAAAATTAATAGTGTGATGTACAACGACACATACAGTCTCAGTGGCGTAGCCAGGAATATCTTTCAAGGGGGGGGGGGGGGGGGGGGGAAGGTAGCTGGGATGTCCATGACTTGAGGTGCGGAGAGGAGGAGAGGGGGTCAAAATGCATGTGTATATTATAGGGTCCGCTACATTTAAGGGGGGAAAGGGGGGGGGGGGGGCTGAAGCCCATAAGCCCGACCCCTGGGTACGCCACTTAGTCTGAGAATTCTGTTGAAGGAGGCCAGGCAACACTGGAACAACAGTCAGGAAAAAAGAGCACAGAGCAACAATATTGTGACCACCTAAAGAATACAGATGATGTCTCAAAGCAAGTGTCATATAAATACAAAATTTTGAAAATTCCAGTACAAAAAAGATGGTGAAAACACTTTGTACGAGTGTGTTATTGTCAGATCCAGGTTCTCTACACCTTTCATCAATATGCAGTCTTCAAAGTGCATTACAGCAGGGGTCTCCAAACTCCGGCCCGCGGGCCAATTTCGGCCCGCATAGAACTCCCGACCGGCCAGTGGCTGGCCACGGTCCTTCCAATGAAGCCCCCCCACAGCCTGCCTCCAGCAGGCCCGCAGTTACCGAAACACAAATAAGCACACTTAAAGAAACAGCGCCGTAATGCGCACTAACTGCGTAAACAAAGATACGCAGTAAAAAAAGAAAGAAAACTGTCTATGAAAAGGCATGTCCTCTTGTCATATTATTATTTAGCGTGTCATCACCCGCGTTACCATTCTTAGCACTCTGTTTTATATTTGCATAACTACATCTATCAAATTCCTTTGCGTTCCCCTGTGTATTGTGCTTAGTTGCCCAAGTTGTATCAATTGCATATTGTCAGCATCAGTTCTATCGTTCTCATTAGTCTTTTTCTTTGCGTGAAGAAGCCAAAGTTATTATACACCGATTTCTGCCTGGTGAGTCTCCTGGGTCCAACGTTACTAAAACACTCAGTTGGGAAACTCGCCGTCGAAACCTGGGCCGCTGGCGTCCACCGAGACCGAGCTAAATGCGACAACAGCGCCACTCTTTATCGATAGTCTGTACTGTGGTCACCTCGAGCTTTTTGAAAGCCTGTTTTTGCGTAAAAACAAATGGAAAAGACTCTTTTTGTATGAAATTTATTGGAGTTTAGTACCAAATGGCGGGCGCGTGATGTTTTTATCATTTTTAGCTCGCAAGGTTTTGCGGAACAATTAATATTGTTTTTATACAACCATGCCTCAGCGGGCCTTTCAGGTAGCGCGTCCCGACCTAGGTGCATTTAAACTTCGGTACTTGACCGCGGCCCGTCCGCTGGGGAGACGGGGGTGGCACCCCTGTAACCTCTACCGCTGAATCTGTTCTTAAAGCCGAAATAGAAGTCACGTGCAGTTCCTCGAGTGGCCGCTGCGGGAGAAATGGTGGCGCTGTGTTCGTCATTAGCTCGGTGCTCGGAGACAGATTGGAGCACTTTTTTAAAGCTGTCTCTGTGGGAGTTTCCGAACTGAGTGTTTTAGTAACGTTAGTAACATTATTTTAAATATAAGGTATATGTATTCATCTGCCTTAGATTCTTTTTAATTTTTATGCTACATTGTACTTTTTTCTGCTGTGCTCTACTTTTTTCTTTAAATGCTTATCTGGGAATATTTATTTATTCCTTTATTTACTTATTTGTATTCCAGCCCTTGAGCTAGTGACAAATACCCGATTCAGCCCCTTAGGCAAAAAAGTTTGGAGACCCCTGTATTACAGCATTACAAAACATGCACATTGGTTCAGCGTAAATATATTGCAAAACCTGCTGGGCGGTACGGGATTTAAAGGGACCATGAAGGCAGTTTCGAAGTTTTATTCGACGATTGAAATGGGTGTCAGGCACGTCTCACATACTGTTGACCAAGTTCTAGCCCGAACAGAAGTTTGGGTGCCGCACCAATCGAGCAAACAGGCGCGGTAATAATAGCGCCGGGAACGATGCCTGAGACCCCACAGAGGCGGCGGCAGAAAGGTGAACTAAAGTGCGCCGTCAAAGCTTGACGACAACGGGCTCCTCGCATGGCGATTGGTTCAAACATTAGACGCGCTCTTGGTTTCGATTTCGGTGGTGAGATGTGATAAAAAAAAAGTTTATTTGAACGTTGGATAATATTTTGAAGTTGTAGTTGGGAATTAGAAGGTTTCATACCGTGTATAAAAGCATAATCTGAAGCGATCCCTCCGTTTGCCACTGGTTGAACGCATCCCGCACTGCTACCTCGGGCGCGTAACAAGCGTCGAGCAACCATGGACAAAAAAAAGAAAAAAAGGTTCGAGCGCCGGGGACGGCGGACTTTTGGTTTTAATTTCGTGCGTCGTCTCGTGTTCGCTTTGCGAACTGGTGTCTTACCAATCATGCCGCGTTTATGTGCTGTAGTAGGTTGCGCGAAAGGTCGGTTAAAGACGTGCGGTCGATCGGGCGACGTTAGTTTGCATAAACTGCCAACCGATGCAGCAATGCGCAGCATTGCTGCATCGGTCGCCAATTCAGAGTTCTGCGTCCTTAGCAGCATCTCCCGTTCAGTCGGCGTGAGGTCGCTGAACGGGAGCTCAAACTCGTTTGCGAGCGCGGCGTTGTCGTCCATTTCTTCCAGGTTTTCTTCCAGGTTTTCTTCACAGACCGCCATGCACTAGAGCGAACCACGGGAACCACACTGAGTGTGCTCTAAATCCTACCGATGCCGACAGTGCTCCCTGACGTCACTTCCCTTTCCAGAGGCGAAAAAGGGAAGAAATCTGAATGTTTGTTTCGGTTTCGAAAATTTATTTGCAGGTACAGAAATAAGAGTCACAACGTTCTAGAAAAAATTGTGTGGCATGCCAGGACCCCAATGCTTCCGAAAACACCTTCTTTTTTAAACAAAATTAAATTGCCTTCATGGTCCCTTTAACTAGCGATGCACCAATCAGCATCACGAAGTGCTGTGGTGTATACACACACTTGTCAAATAATCACCCGCCGAGGTGAGTGCTAAAATAAGAGCACGGTAGAAACCTTAAAAATTGTTCCACTTGCTTCAGTACCAAGATCTGCAACTGAGAAGAACAGCGTGGGAGCTGAACCAGCCAACCTTTTCTTAAAAAGAGTGGAAGTGAATTCTGGCCACACATTTACTTTCTACAAGACTAAATGTGCATAGAGAGGAGTAAATAACAAAAATTAATTTTTACAGACATTGGACCACACCTAAAAATATTCGACCACAACCAAAGAATATTTGTCATTAGAAAAGCACGAAAACACAGATCAGCAATCAGTCTCCTGCCAAGGTAACTGCTAAAATGACATCAAAGTATGATACAAGACATCAAACATGATACAGGAAATTTTGGAACTGATGTGTCAAGTAATGTGTTAGGAGGTCTGCCAAAACATTACTCCACAAGTACTTCAGTACTAAAATTTGCAATAGCTGAAACAAAAAAGAAAAAAAAGTGAGTTGAAACTGCAAGCCTTCATTTAAAAAAAAAAAAAAAAAAGAAATTGAATTTTAGTCACAGATGCATTTTCTGAAGAAAAATAAAATCTACAGATAGGGATAAATAACAAAATAAAACAATATATTTTTACAAACATATTCAACCACCTTAAAGTACCACACCCAGAGCAGGCGCAAAAGAACTTGAAATGAGCAAAGCGTATGATCCCCTTTACAGTAAAGCTTTATCACCTGTGTGGGTTCGATTATGGCAGGTTAGATGGCAATTCTGAGTAAAGGCTTGGGGACAAAGCTTGCACTTATAAGGCTTTTCATCACTGTGTGTTAGGTTGTGGCGGATAAGACTGCTTTTGCAAGTAAAGGATCGGGTGCACTGATTGCACTTGTATGACCTTTCACCAGTGTGTGTTCGATTATGGCGGGTCAGAGTGTTACTCTGAGAAAAGGCTAGGGGACAAAGCTTGCACCTGTATGGTCTTTCACCTGTGTGTGTTAGATTATGGCGGCTCAGGTGGCTATTCTGAGCAAAGGCTTTGGGGCAAAGCTTGCAATGGAATAGCTTTTCACCTGTGTGTGTTCGATTGTGAGCGGTCAGACTGCCATTGTGAGCAAAGGCTTGGGGGCAAAGCTTGCACTTGAATGGCTTTTCACCTGTGTGTGTTCGATTATGTGTTCTCAGAGCGGAAATGAAAGCGAAAGCTTTGGGACACACCTTGCACTTGTATGGCCTTTCACCTTTGTGTGTTTGATTATGCCAGGTCAGAGTGACAATTTGAGCAAAGGCTAGGGGACACAGCTTGCACTTATGAGGTTTCTCACCACTGTGTGTTCGATTATGGCGGGCCAGATGCATACTCTGAGCAAAGGCTTGAGGGCACTGCTTGCACTTATAAGGTTTTCCAGCAGGGTTGAGTTGTTCACTACCATGGGAAACCAGATGGCTCATGATTTCATTGTGGTCTCTAGTGACATAGGTGCAGAAGCAGCATTTAAACCAGATGTCCTCGGTGGCTTTCAGTGGGCAGCAGGACTCCCCATGCAGTGCTGCTCCATCACCTAAAAAAGACATGATTTGCAATAGGGCACGAAAGGAAAGCCCAACCAAGATAGTGACTTGCTTTATAAATGAGTTTGGTAGTCACTGCTGCAGTGCCACTTAGCTGAACAGCTCATTATATCACCACCTTTTTATTTTGGTTAATGAAAGCACTCAACTACAATTGACTATAAAAAATTCTTTATTGGCAAAAAATCTATTTAAGTGTTTGATTCCCCCAACTGTTAAAAAACTATTTTATTGGCTGGTAGCACAGTACCTTCTATGCATTCGGCTTTGTGGCCATGTATAACTGAAAAAAAAGCACTCTGACCAGCTTACAGTGGTGACTACTTGTGGGTTTTGAACTTGTCCACTTTATCTTCACTTCGGAATACATCTACCATTAGCAAGGTTTGAGGAACTAAATGAGATTTGAACAAATTTTGAAGAAATTTGATGACTCCTGCTTTTCTACGACAGCAATGGTTTTCGATATGCCATCCTTTTCTGGTGGTAATCTGTGTTGCGCTCAGACAAATGTATTTTTAATGACTAGTTTTTTAGTACTGATGACAATACTTTCATTTGTGGAAAGTGAGTTTCAGGTACCTTTGCAAACTCAAAGGTTCCAATAACAGAAGCAAGGACTGGAATGGAGCATCATGTTTGCTTACTTCTACAGAGACCACACCAATGCACACCTTTAAAGGGGTACCCGGCATTTTTTCTTCAAGGTGTGAGATTTGTGTCAAAGTGGACTAAACACAACAAACATACCTGAACTAGCTATGCATCTATTAGGCTAAAAAGATTTTGTGGATTTATTGGACGTTTTATTTTGTTTGATTCTCACCCTTTTTTTCGAACTGAAAGTTTTACAAGCAAAAATAAAAGAGATTCAAGCGGCAGGCAGGGGTTCACTCTTTGTGCAGTAAAATTTGTTCCGAAGTGATTACAAGAAGTTTGATAGTATCAAATAAATGCTAAAATGTTTAACTGATACATCTTTCTAACATATATATGCTAAGTTTACTTATATGAAAAATTCATTCACGAATGATTCAAAATAACAAAATTACCTTAGCTGCATACATTCAGAATTATATGCCTTGTCAGGACTGCATAATATAGTGTCATGACAATAAAATTGTCTTAAGTTCCTTTTTATTAGAGTGCATGACAATCTGTGACTGCCATTTAACCCAGCAAGGCCTACAAGAAACACACAATCAAACGATCATTGGACCATTATGTAGAACTTTTGTCAAAAGCATCCTTCTCTCCAAACACAATAAGCAAAGTAACCAACTTCCTAAAAGTGTTACCACTTTAGAATCACTAACCCTTAACGACACACTACTTAGGCACTCCATGTTGACTGGATTTGTCAGCTGTTCCCTTTGCATCGGGTAGCACACACTACATTGGGTGAGCAGAGCCGGCGCTCCACTCTAAGCAGAATTTATTGCCTATTTTTGTGCCCCTAAGTCCTCAAGTCTTTGCTGAGGGTACTCAATGGCATTTCCGGCTCATTTTCTCTGACTGGGCTCGCTTTTTAACAATATCCCTGAGAATTCGGTTTTTCCCGGTCGCTAGACACCGTGTTTTTAATATGTAATTTTCTTTGAACAAGTTTTGCAATGGTTATCGTCGCCGTCGGTTATGTTTGCTAAGGTGAATAGACCCTTTCCGAAATTCAGTCTGGCCACTTTGATCACTATCATCATCTGTGGAACGGCATCTGTGCCATACGAATGGCGGCCTTCTAGTGACTGATAAAGGAAGACGTTGAAGATGCTCCTAAGCGGATATTGCGAGGCCTGTACGTTCGGGGGTCAGTACGAAGCGAAGTAGGGCTGGAACACAAGAGCTACGTAAGCGTTTATTTCTAATTGCTCAGATTCAGTCAATCTGTTGTGGCACACAATCGGCTTTAAAGCACTTTGGTGTATAGACGCTTTACAGCAGCTGTGCATGGGCGCCCCCATAAATGACCTTCAGTTTTTGTTCCCTCTTATTCCGTTCGCTTCACTTAATCATTGCTACAGCAGGAAAGGTTATTGCCATTTTAGATGCTACTGTGTACTTGTGCCCAGCATAGGCCCTTGTGAAGACCCGTCAACGCTTGCTTCAGTGGCTCGGCATCTCGGTAAGACAAGAGAAGGGCGGCTATGGCGGCTCAATCTGGCGCGTGTGTAAAGCGTCTATAGAATTTTCTCGAGGCATCTCAGTGGGTTGGAGCTTTGTTCTGAATGCACGTTCTTGGTCACCATCGACCTGAAAGTGATCGAGAAAGAACTCACACTGAACAATTCCTCGCGTGCCGTCGACTTGCGAAAGTGACGGTGCCGATACAAGTTCATTTCCGCCATTGATAGGGCAAAACCTAAACTGCTTTACGAACCACCAGATGGCACTGAATTTCTGAAAGGGTCTATTGTGCCATCTGCAAACTTGCTTTTTATTCTTAATCAATTTTTCTTTTGGTTTGGCATGGAGCCCCCAAAGTGCCTCTTCTGTTTACAGTTGTGTTTTATTCTGACTGCCATAATGTTTGTAAAGCGTTTGTACATTAATTGTTTTTGTAGCTTCTGTTGTCTTGTGGTTATGTGCGTGTGTGTCTGCGGGCACGTCTGCCCCTTGTCATACTTGGGTAGTAATTCAATTACAGTAATTGAATTACTGTAATTTAATTACTTTTCCTGGTAATTTGTAATTGTAATAATTACTTTTAACTAAAAAGAATTGTAATTGTAATTTAATTACTTTCTAGCGTCAGTAATTGCTAAATTTCAGGCACAATTACAATTACTTTTGCAAGATTTGGCGGCGCTTTTCCCCCTGGCCACGGAGACGACAGTACAGCCAAAGCGACAGGGGAGAGTGTGTCTCCCAACCTGCTCAAAAAAGGGAAAAGAGGAATGGGAAAGAGAGGCTGGGATAGAACGGAATGAAGGATTTTGTAGACTGTAAAACGATTTAATGAAGAATTTGAAAAATAATTTGATAAATGAGGGCTACACTCGCGTCCGTTTTCGTTCCTGTCGTAGTTGAATCTGACTCTTCCCCTCGTTCGCTTTTTGTTGCTTCTGTTTCTAGGGGTCTTTCTTATTTCTCATTCCCGCAGGGGGGCATCGGGGGTCGAAGTAGAGCTGGTTGGCTCCGACCACATCATCCGGTCGAGGCGGGGAGGTTCGAGGTTCTCCTTACGCGTCTTCGCCGCTAGCGTATTCGCTTACACATTTCAGTCAAGTTTGGGGAATTTTTTGTTCATGAAATTATTCTCTTTTCTTTATAAGTTTTTCACGTCCTTCTCCTCTATCTCGTATGTTGGTACCTCTAACAGTAAGTCGTACGACTCTTACATCGAGGCGAAGAAGCAAAGAAGCAGCAGGTCTCATTAACACGACTCACCCTGCCTTACTTCCAACTGTTGTTGCTACACTGCTCTTCCTTCTCCCAATCCTCGCCTACCTTTTCGTATAAATCTTAATTATTTAGTGTCTGCTCTACCTAACCCTTTCAACCGTTTGTCAGCCTGATTGGACGAGATTCCAAAACTTACAAACCGCGGCTTTAGACTGTAGGGAGCTTGTTTAGACATTTGTTGTCGTTGAAGGCTTCTTTCTTTTCTTTATTTATAGAGGGCTTGGCTTGCACTTTGTTTTTACACCTCTAACGTGACCCTCCACGCGTTGTCCTCTCGTCCTGGCCTGTGGAACCGTCCCGAGGCGCGCAGTGCTGCTTTGCATTGAGAACCTGCAACAGTCTTATCTACAAGGGAAAAGGAAAGGCTGCATGCCGGGGCCTTGTTACGAAAAATTCTTTAAACAGATTAGCAACAATGTAGAAAGTATAATCGTTAGGTGCAAACTCTCCGCACCGTCTCTGAAAACAAATTCAACAAACCGAAAGGCGACCTCCAATTTGCGGAAACTTTTGCTGGTAGGCAACTTTTTTTGTCACTTTCAATAATACTTACAGTTATAAAAAAATAATAATGATGGCTCGTCTATATCTTCCAGCTGAAACATGCTCAAGTAACTCATGAAATCGAGGCATCCAAGAGGCCGCAGTTCCAAGAGGCCGCAGTTAGAATCCGCCTTCGCGGATTCTAATTTTCGCGACGCGGTGGGGTCGCAATATAGATTCCAATGTGTTTACATTTTACCGGAATAGCTCGCGGGACTTATTTTTCGTGAATTGTAGGCGATTCGCAAAATTCGCGAAAATGAAGTCATTTACAGTGTATCATTATTTTTTCGAGGTTGTTCTTGTCATGCTAAATTCAAATCGGTCTTCTTTATGAGACGCATAGCATCGATGCAATCATTGCAATCCTAATGATTAGCTACATGACGATCCTAAATTTATTATCTATCTCAGGAGCTTTTTGGGTGTTACCGTGCACTGAATTAACCCAGAATCCCTGACAATTGCTGCTATTCTGACTTTAGTTTTGTGGAAGCGACCACAGTTCGCGTGCTACAGTTACCCACATTCGGCATGTTACAAGTCCACAGACAGGGAGAGGCAGCGAATCATCGTAGCTGAAATGTTTTTGGAAGTTGTCATATTCTTTAAATGTTTGACGTCGTTTACAAGTTTCTCTTATTAGCCATTTTTACGCGAGTTTTATGATACCAGTACTGCCGCATATTTGTTTCCTTGTGTTATTTTTAAGTTTATTTTTTGTTGGTTTGACTTGGATACCATTTGCATAAGCTCTAAGGAGATTCACCTCGCACCTGTGAATTTCGTCGCCATTTATTTTTTATTTTTTGGGAATATAAGAATGCAGGAGTTCATTACTTCAAACTATTAAGTTCTATAATCCATTTAACAAATTTCATAAAAGGAAAGTACAATGCGTGACAATTATACAGCGGCCATATAACTCGTTTACAGTTATATGGCCCAAGGTGGGGGTAACTCTCAGAAATAAGTAATTGTAAAGTAATTGCATTACTTTTAAAAAGTAATTTGTAATTGCAATGAACTACTTTCACGTAGTAGT